AGACTGTGCGTCAGGGAGATTGAGATTGCATGGCGATTACACGTTGGGAATTGAAGCTGACGGGGATGAGTTCCGTTACTCGGATCCTAATTCGTAATCGTAATGCAGTTGTGTTCTCTCATGCCGCGATACTTCGGGCGGGGGAAACGAGAAAAGCCGTTTTCCATCAAGGCCTTACTGAATAATTCGCGTCATAGATCTATTAAATCTATAAAAAGTTTCTAATCTATGCAGAGTGTGTGACGTAATTTGAAATCTTTTGCAAGCGAATTGTTTTTGCATCCTTCTGTCGATTTGTTATTATTACGTTAAAACAAAGGTTTTGAACTATGCCACGTTCGCACGCTCTGTCCATATATATTATCCGTTATGACGTAGACTGTAAGTTAATTTTTTTTATTCGACGAAAGAGACGGTGTGCTCGTTTCGTTTTCTTCGGCAAAACGAAAACTCGGTGATACTCGGTGGACCATAATTGCATCGTTAAAACGCGTGCGTCGTGCACGCGACGTACTCGTTATCGCGAATATACACAGTAATTCGAGATTTTATCTCGCGTAACGTCGTTACGTGCATTGCACGACGAGCGTATCATTCGCGGAGGGATTTCTTCGACGTAAAAGACGTCGAAGGATGCAGTCCGCGACATCGCTCACGAGCGATGCATTCCGTTGGTCCATAGCACACGCGATAATGCCCATTATCGCGCGAATTCCGAGGACAACATGATTTAAAATTTTCCGCGCCGCTGCCTATCGGCCCGATTAATCTCGCCGTAGTGACCTCCCCATAGTTATCGCGACACGCTTTTCCACCAGTCGCGAAAACGACGTGTCACGATTCGCGCGAGTGTTACTCGAAGCCGACAGATTCACTTTTTTGAATTAATGATATGGATTCTTATGTAAACTGTAGTTTACGATCGCACAGAGACAGGATTTCTGAACCTAGGTGAAGGCAATATCTTTTAATTAAATTTAAAAAATCTCTTCCATAATTTGCTAATTTTTAATAACTCGAGTTAGTTAATTTTATCTAAAATCTTTTATTATCCTTTGGTGAGAGAATTTTGTTAATTTTATGCAAAATATTTGATTTTTTAATATATTGTCATAACCCGCATTTATATAATATATATTGGCAATATTAGAAATTATATGGAATAATTAATGTCAAAAATTGAATAATCTACAACATATGTAAAACAGGCATTTATTTTTATAAACATGTATAAAGACGTATTAATGTAATTTTTTTATTTTTGAGTATGGTTTCAAGGAAAATTTAAAAATGAAGACAATGCCGAGAGAAATCATAATTTTAATATAAATTTGTTTAATTATATATTGAATAGTAATTCAAATTATTTATACATCTATGATCGCTCGATATGATACCAATATACATATGTACAGGACAGATGTTTCTCTTTTTTCCATACGGATTTGCAATTTAGAATTGATCTTATCTTAACAAAGACTTTCTCTTATTTATCGCAAATTACTTATGTTAGTAATCTTCGTCATTAAATATTTTGAAACTTGCACTTCTGATAAGGGATCCAGTCAAAATCGAGAGATTTGGCTTTGTTATTCGCATGATGTCGATATTCAACTGGCCGATGTCTTTTGCGAGAACAAATATTTTCCTAATTATCGTAATCATTAGATATATATAACTATTTTTTAATTCGTCCAGTAGAAATCTGTTGTGATTTTGAAACATCCCATATTTATCTGTCTCTCTACGAATTTTCTGTCTTGCTTTCGCGAAACTCCGGATCTCGTGGGTCGGCCTCGAGAGTTTCTATGATCGTCATTACGCCTCCAAGGCGCTCGCTCGTCGGCCCTGGACCGACGTTCTACCACTATAGTCTATCGCTTCTAGTGCAAGAGAAGAGAGAGAAAGAGAGAGAAAGAGAGAGAAAGAGAGGGACAGAGAGAGAGAGAGAGAGATAGCGCGAGTCAGTTCGATAGAGAAAGAGACGTACGAGAGATAAACTATTCTGTCTGTCGAAGGAGCACGCATACAAAACCGTAGCCAATTATCGCACACGAACAATGCGCGCCAAGGTCCCCGTCCACGAATCTTACTCGTGTATCTCACTCGCATCTCTCTTAACGACGCCGTTTTGTAAAAGCGTCGCCGCGTGTGCTTTCCGCCGAAAGGCCCCATTTGGAGTCCGACCGCGAACATCGTATGATAATCGCACGTGTTTCTGAGATACTTTCCCTTGATACGCGCGATCGTTCTCGCGTTGTAATCCGGCACCGTTTACTTTCCGCCATACGAAATACGAAATGTGCCGCACGTATCCTCGAGAGTCAACAACATCGACGCGTTTCTAAGATTGTAATAAAATTCGAACATTGAGAATGTGAAGATTTTTGGATCCAATGACTGCAAAATATAAACATGATCTTAAGTCAAAGTCCAAAGTCGAAAACTTTACGGTTTAAGAATCCAGAAATGGTAAATTAACTTCCTAGAAGGCAACCTTTGTACATAGATAATTATTTTCTTTTTATTAGTTGGACTACATCTGATTTTTTTTAAATGAAAGATAGATTGCTATATATTGCAATACCACGACGGATTTTAATGATTATCCTTCAAGAAATCATTGTCATGAAATCATGTGAAAAGGCGAATTAAATCAAATGTGACTTAACGCGTTTGTAAAAAAAAAGCACTAATTCGATTATAAATGCATGCTGCGAAACCCGTCCGTCTGTCGTCGGTAGCGAGATTCCCGCGCCTCTCTGAGGGCTCCGGCTAAGGTTATGGTTTGCTCTAGGAGTTCATTAACCCCTTGTCGGATCGCGAGAGCACACCGCAGAAGAAGTGCACAACAGTCGCGGGTACGGGACGGGGGGCGGCGGGAGATTGGGAGGAGCGGGCGAGGAGGACGAGGGGAGTTCGCAACAGCGTGCACCGTAGTTCTGGGTTCTGGTCGTCAAGGCGAGTGCGATCGCAAGCAGAGCTCTTTTGCAGAGCTGGAGACGCGAGGGGGGTCCCACGAAGTATGGGGGAGGATGAAAGGGGGAGACGGGGGACCGCGACGACGACGACGGGGCGGCTGGACTTTCTCCGGAGAGCGAAAGTGAGAGGGCCCCCCGGGAGTGCGCGTTCGTTCCCCTGGCCATTCGTGATCTAGAGGGCAAGGGGGTGGGAGGTGGTTCGTGCTTTCACCGTGCCCCGACGAGATGCACTTTTCCGCGGCGCAGAAGCGAAGGCGCGCGATTTCGCGAGCGGAAAAATTATGATTTTAGAGCGATTAGCTGGAACAACGGCCGCGAGCGACGAGGAAACGCCGCACGCCGCGGCTTCGTACGCGAGATACTCCGTGTTGAGTCTGGGGATAACGCTCTACTCTTCCTCTTTCACGCGAGTAAGGGGGGAAACGATACGAAAATTAATGGTGCTGCGAGTTGTAATTACGGAAGAGGAGCGGCGTAACGTGGCGCACTACGTGTCATTTCGACGCGAGTCTCGGCGATAATGCGCAATGCCCGTGGGTAAATACGCGTAGTGAATCAACCTTAAATTACACACGGCGTTAGTATCTTTTCCAGACTTGTTGGTATTAAAGTTTAATGAAATCGACCTTTTTATATCGCTTTAATTAACTCTAAAGTTAAAATTCTGCTGAAGAAAAGTCAACTTGACATTAAACGAAGGACGCGATTTATTTTGTATAATTTGTGCTCTCGATCCTTAATTTATGAAAACTTTTGGAGTTGTAACTATTTATAATTTAAAAATCCTCGCGACCTCGACATTTTTATCAGCGTGCTAGATGGACGAAAGGAAGTACGCAAAAGCTGTTATCTAGTATATGTTAATAACCGATGCTACGACCATGAAACAACCAGCATCCTTCTGAGATTGGCCTTTAGTATTTGCACTAAAGAGAAAGTGCTCCATGCTTAGGACAAGCTGCGCATTTAACATACAATCTATATGTATCAATGTACACATAAAACACTATACACTGTTACATCTCGAATTTTACTGCAATTTTACGTAATTTTTTCCAATTAAATAAAAAAAATAATTATCGATAATCAAAGATAAAAAAAGTTACACTTAATTCTATAATATATTATATATATATTATATAAACTACAAATCTCTATATCACCCTCGATCGTTAAAAGCCAATATTTTTGACGACTTCGCGATCAACTATTCCGAAACATTGCTAGGTGTAAAACTATATCGATTAACAGTTTCCAAAGTAGAATGTTTATATTTGCAATCGCAGTCGTGAGATCAACTCGCGAGAAATATCGATCTCTTCCCGCTGATAAGCAACATCGCTGACGGGGTTAATCATGTACGTCGTGCCGCGGTTTTCTGGCGGGCACCGACCCGGTACCGTAATCGACATCGAAACTTTCTTATTCTCGACAACGCGCGCATTCCGCCTCGTGTTGCCTCGAGGGTGGGAGGGAGTGAAAGAGACATTTACGAGGGCGACGAGCGCTAGAAGGGAAAAACCAGTCGCGGACCGTGAGTTTAGTCACGGTGGAACGGCGCGACGCCGGACAATCGCGCGAATTAACTTTCTTCGCCGCCTTCGACTTCCTCGTTTGTCGATGCTCGCGAGCCATCGGATTAGAGCTCTATCAGCTTTTACCGTCGTCATCTTCATCGTTCGTACGAGCGCCCGAAGGCCACGCCAACGATATAGACTGACCTCTCATTTTTTTTTTCATCTCGACGTTCCTTCCTTTTTTTCCTTCTTCTCGTCGAAGTCCTTGCATCTGTCGCGAGAAAGTCCAGCCTCGGCGACCTCCAGGTTTCGATTCCCCGTATAATTTCAGGGGCGCGTCGCTTTGACGTAACTCCTTAACAACGTACGCGTTTGTTTTGCTGAAAATTAATTATAGCGAGAAGAAACAGGATAAGTGGGAAAGAGAAAGAGAGGCGTAAAATTTCATTATGCATTTGTGAAAAATTTTTCACGTTAATAATATTTTTTTGTTGAAAATATTTATTATAAAAATACATTGAGGGGGAGTAAAAATGAATGTATATTTATTCCGGTTATGTAGATCACGACGCAACGTTATATTGTCGTCGCATAAGTGGATGACGCTGAATTTCATTATCCGATTAATATATTCCTAGATACTTCGAGAAAATCAAATGCTGTTATACAATACGGAAAACTTCGCGCGAATATAAACATTCTAAAACATTTATAGACATCACAAAATATTTATCGTATAACACATTACGTATAAAAATTCATCGTAGAGGACGAATAAATAACGAGTAACAGAAAAACATTATATTTGCTGCGTAATTGATGGTACGTGACTGTGCTTGTGGACGAACCTTAAGGCGATAACGTATAGTTAATTGATTTTGACGATTATAGCGACTTGTTCTCCCCTCAGTAACATCTGCGGCACGTGTCTCTCCAAGGTCTCCGTCCTTCCCTCGATCTTCTTCACTACCGTCCTAGGGACATCGTTTTCTGTCGGCTCTACCTTGACTGCATCAGCACCTGAATCGAAGATGCAATGTCGAGTTTTTGCCATATCTTCTCCGATATATTTTTCCTTTGTTCAATTAACACAGTGATTAGGATTTTAATATATGTGAATAATGTAAACGTGAATGACTCTGCTCGTTTGCCATAATTGCAATTTGCAATAGAGCCTTTGTTTAGTTGAAATAGAAAACGTATCTGCGAAAGTACAATGACAAGATGAAAAATATTAGATATGGGGGAAAAAAATACAAATAATTTGAAGAAGGAAGATGAATTCATTCTTGCGAGATTTTATTTTAAAATATCAATATTGCTGTGTAATTTACGTAGACATGCATCCAAGTATTTTAATTATGTAAATTTATGCGGCAGATAAATTAATCAGCTGTATTTTAATTTATCAAATGTTTAGCGTTTATTACGCGAGAAAAATGTTTATCATTTTGTTCAATATTTTCAATATATATATCGTTTAAAATCTTATAAGTTCCTACCAGTGTTTTGCAAAAGTCTTTTATCTTCGGTGTCGAAAAAATCGGCAATTACTTTTTTAAAACAATTCAATAAAACTTCGAAAGATATCTTTTTTTATATATATTAAAATCTTGAGATAACTTAAATACTGAACTATAATTAGAACATTTTCATTATAATGAATTAGTATAACGAGCCCATAAATTGTATTGCAACGAAATCAGAATAAAAAAGCTAAATTTTTGAACACTGACATTAAGCGAAAGTTATCGGAAGTGTGTATGTTGTTGCGAATAAACCTTGGAAAGAAAACGTCTCGGAAAGAAAGGTCACGAGGAAAGTCTGGGGAAGGTTGTTTATGTGCCAGCACGTGTCCGTAGAAACGCGCGGGGGCTATGATAAGCGGGTTGGGGTCGGAGGAAAAACGGAAGGGCCACGAGAGGGTCGGAAGGGGGATGGATAGGCAGGAAGGCAGGCACGAGGAGCCAACAGGACACGTGTACACGGGGAAGGCATCGATCCTGCTGGGCTGTTCTCCAAGGTCGCCGGTCCCTCCACCCTCCCTTCTTAGCCTCGTATCAACGACCTCGCGACCCTTCGCGATACGTCCCGAAGTACGTCAGTAGGCCAACTAACCCTGAACTCGGCCGAAGGAGAGAGAAAGAGCCGCCCAGGGCGTCGCTTTTTAGACGATGCTATAAACAACGATGGAAGAGTTTAGTCTTAACACGCATTTCCTGGCGTTGCGAAGCAACGCCGTTATGGGGTTCCATTAACCTTTTAGGAATAATTTGCTTAAATTGTATAGGAAGGAATTAAATTAACCCTCAACAGGTACCAGAGTTTTCTTCTAGACCTAATTATAAATTAACTTAAAGTAGAAAACTTTACATTTTACAAGGAAACGTAATTTTAATCATATTGCCATAACATTATTTAAAGCATGACCTGATTAAAATAATTTTTTCATAAATACTTTAATTTTAATGATCGTATAAATTCCACATTGCTAGAAATTAATTTAATTAAATGTATAGCCTCTGCATGTGAGTTAATAGTTCAGTCCGTTTCATTTTTAATAACCGCGTATTTTTATTTAAAAAAAAATTACATTTTTCAAAATAATATTTATACATGCGTTGTTGTTTCCTGTTTATTAATCCTGTTTATTAATCTTGTGCCGCAAAAACAATTATTGACTATCTCACTGATTAATTGCACACATTGCGAGTTGTTCATGTATGATAAGCAAGATAAAAAACAATCACGTGCGTTCAAATCAGATCTGTCCGAAGCGCTTTCATCGAATTGCAACTCTAGACGTATTCTTTTCTTGACGTGACCAATGTACGATCGACCAATCAAATCATGGAGGGCAAACCTTTTTAGTTCGTGAACTTTCAGATGCAAAGCGAAATTAGTGCGTCGTATATAGAATGCACCATATATGTACGTAGGTAGACGCTGGTTTGTCTGGTAGAAATCACGAGATTACAGAACGGCATTGGATAGGATGAACAGAACGGAAATTGAAGTTGTACCGATAAAATGTCGGCAAGGTCGCCGAAAAAACTCGCGATAAAACGTGTGCGATATGTAATCCAGAGGATTATCGACTATAGAAGGGCTTTTTATCTAAACCTTCTAGGAAATAGATTGGACTTCTGAGAAAAATCGGGAAAGAAATTCAATATACAGCGGATGTTATTTTAAGCGGGATTTCTTCGAATTCTAAATATATAATCGATTGTTCCTTGGCGGAAGTGTTTACACTCTCTTAGTAAATAACTCGAAAATTTTTAATAGATAAAACTTTATTTTTCTCTCAAACGGATTTTATTCGAATAAAATCTTAGTTGCCGAGATATTTAAAATTAAAAATTTGCTTGATAATTCGAAGAAATATCGACTGCGAATTGATCGAAGAATCTGCAGCTAAAACATTATTCGTTCCATGATATATCGATTGTTATATTTCTTTCGATTCCTCTTATACTACCTATCGTTAAAAATAATTTTTATATGAACGAAACGTAAGATATTTCCAAGTTGGGACGCGTGTTTGACATGACCGGTGTGGATGAATGAAAACGAGAGGCGAAGGTTGGAGGGCACGTGGCGAAGGAGAAAAGGAGGGAGGAGGGTAATGCGTGAGAGGAAAATCGTTGCTGGGCGGGGAGGGGAGATACGGAGCATTGGGGAAGCGTCTCACGCGGAACGACGCAGGCGGAGCAGGAGAGGATCGACGGAAGAGAAACGGGCGGGAAGTAGACGCGCGGAGGAGGAGGAGGAGGAAAAGAAGAATCGGCGGAAAGAGGCAGAGAAGAAATGAGCGAGGAAGCGCGCACGCGAAGAGGGGTTCGCCGCGCGGACCTCCTCTCCTCCTCGAACGCGTATCGAACGCGCGCGCCGCCGACCACTATACGTAGTCAAGGTCGGTCCTTGCTCCTGCCGCGAAGCGGCGACCTTAGTGGGATGTATTATCCCCCTTCGCGCGCGCGATACGACGACCCTTTCTCTCTTCCACGGCTGCCGCCCTTTTGCCGCGCGATGTAAATAAAGACGAACGGATCGTGCGCGCGCGCGCGCGTACTCCCCTGAGACGAGTTCGTTAAACCCTATCGATTTGCGCGACGAATGAAGAATGGGAATCCCGCGAATTAAAAGTGGATCGTACTTCTGCGTCGATGGGGAAGATGCTCTCCTCTGAACGACGACAATAAAGGGGCGTGATCGTGAAAAAGATTTGAGAGAAAAACCACGGAATCTTTCACGTGTAATTTTGCAGTCGTGTACTTTTGCCGATTTTTCGAAAAAAAATGAGAAATTTTATATTTTATGCTTTTAGTTTTTGTCGCGCTATCGAATCATGAACTTTCGAAGATCGCTTAAGCACACGTAAAATTATCAAGAATGCAAACTAATAAGAGATAAATTCAGTTTTAAGTTCCATGAAACGTCATGCGGACTATACATATATATATACTGAGTTCCGATATTCTAAAAATATGCCATTGATGCGTACATTGCTTATAGCTCATAACTCACGAACAGAAATTATCACGTATATACAAGATATCACATATTACATGTAAACATTTTTATATTATGCCAAAGAGATTTATCATGCATATTTGTCGAACAGATAAAAATGATATAATTTCCGAAAGCAATTTTTATTAATTAATGTAATTACCAACTTTTCTTTATTTGAAATTGTTCAGTTCGTATTTTAGCTGAAAAAGTTAAAAAATTCTATTTTAAGTACAACTTTGCAGCGTATCAGATATCTTTAAAAAAATGATGTGAAATATTTACGTGATGAAAATTTTAGTACTTGCTACTAGAATATCTATTTTTTTTTAAGGAATTTATAAGCACCGTAAGACTTTGTATATTGTATTTTTAATTTTACATGAAAAATGTAAAAGGAGAAACTAATACATTGACAAATTTGCTAATAACGCAATCTTAAAATTTCCAAACCGAATTTTTAGTAAAATACCTTCCAGAGGAACTGCGTATCGTTGTGCGTATCTATTTTTCTTTAGGGTCGTATCATTTGTGCTTCGAAATGTCGAAGGTTACAGAGCTCGTTTTTTATTATCCGACTCGGTTAGCATCTCGTTCTCTTTCTCTCTCTTTCTCTCTCGTACCATCGTGTCGCACTGTACCTTCGTGAGACGCAAAAACTTACGAGGAGGCGAGAATAATCGATCGGCCGGACTACTCCTTTTCTTCGCATCTACATATCTCTCGAGTCTGGCGTTCGTGATTTTTTTGCGCGTTGCACAATACCATATACATCTGCATATTTATATACCGAAAACGATTATTACAGCGTCAAGAATCTATAATTGCCGAGAAACGAGGTCGCTTATGAATTTCAATAGCGCGTCAATTTATACCTGTAAATCCCTTTCAGATCGTACGATGTCATATGTAAATTTTTTTTTAAATTTCACAGCATTTATTATTGTATTCTTCTTGAAAAATCATATTAATAGGTTCTGCATCAAGCATGATTAAAAAATACGAGAAGATTATTCTCCGTTATTCCCGTTTGAAAATCTACCTATAAAATTATAATTTATCCTTGATTCTTATACAAGCGCGATTGAATGATTTATGTAATAACTAGAACAGGTTGTAATTCTACGCAATTTCAGTATTCTCAGTCGAGCCTATATATATAACTTTTTTTCTGTCATCAATGTTCATGAAATACACAAGTATTCCACGCGATTAGCATAAGACATAACAAGATTATCATATAATAGCTAATCCTATAACAGTTCCATTACAATTCTCAATAAGATATAAAATCGAATGGTAGTAACTAGAGTTAACACACTGCATTATGCTTGTGACTATCATGAATATTAAATATAATTAATCCCGATATTAAATAAAATAAAATCTTTTAATCAAAGGAGAGTTGCGGATATAACTATCTACTTGGGTAAATTATTTAATTCGCAAAATCTTGATAAAGAAAAGTCGATCCTCAGTTGATCAGTTGAAGCGCGGGAATCGTAGATTATCCATATAATGACTGATCTCACAAATAATAGCATTCGCCAATTCAGCGGTCAGCGTTCTATTGTCGGGACAACAATATCATTATGAAAAAAATAATTTCAACAACAAAATTCTCTAAGAAAAACTAGCTAAACGATCTCTAATTAATGTGATTCTAACATTAATATAAAACTCTTTAAAGGAAATAAAAACAATCGCACAACACATACACACACAGTATAAATTTTAACCCTATTCGCTCCAACCATGCCTTTCGTGTCCCACGAATTTCTAACAGTTGTTTGTTCCGGAAAACAAATGATCGTGGGAGAATCTCCTCCGCGCCGGAAAAAAGTTATTGTGGCAGGGAACCTCAGGTAAAAATTTCAAAGTCCTAGCTCATTTACTCTCGAAACGGGGAACAATCAAAATCTCGGTGGGACACGAAAGTGCATGGTTGGAGGATTACGTCAGTGTTGTGTGAAAGGTAAATGAGCATTTTTTTCGATAAAAATGTATTTTTGTGTATAATTTAACCGTATTTAAAATATTTTTGTCGTTAAAAAAAAAATTTAACATTCCACAGAGGTCTATTATGGCTCAGAGGCAGGTGGAAGAGGTGGGGAGGAGCTACGATTATATTAACCCGTTGTGGTCACACCTCCTAAAAATAACGTAGTGGTCACACGGGGTCCAATGGACCCCACAACAGTTTCCATTTGCGTTCTTTTTGATGTATCGACTCAAACCTTGAACTGGAATTAATTTATGACTTCCTCTTGATAATCCAATAATTTAAAAAAATTTTTTATGTTGAAAAAACGCGAGAAAAAAAAATTTTTTTTGAGAAATTTGACTTTTTTTACAAAAATATTCATCAAAATTTTTTGAGATAGAGTAAAAAAACTTTGTGCGTTTTACTTTCAAAATAGTATACTTTTGGAAAAAAAAAAAAAAAAAAAAGCCTGGGGTCCACTGGACCCCATGTGACCACAACGGGTTAAAAAAATTAATTTTTTTTACATAAAAAATATCTGTCACACTTCAAATTCGCCTTTTCTTATTCAGAAATTCTTTTTCTAGCATTCTTTAAGTCCTTAAAGTCCTTCTGTACCATTTAAAAATTACCAAATTTGCGGCGACGAAATTAAGTATTCCTATTTAATTAATAATTATCTCATATTTTTTTTCTCATTTGCACTACTTTTAGCTTTAATTTGCGTTTTGGTTCATTAAGCTTCGTCAATTTGTTCGTGAGTTATGATTTTTTAAGTAAAACGAGTCGTAACGTGTGTTTGTCAACATATAATTGTTATAAAAAAATATTTAAATAAATAATTTTCAAATGTTCTTTACATTGATTTTTAGTCGAAGGTACAAAGATATTATAATAATTTTTGGGGAATTTTTCAAAGCTATTAACATTATAAAAAACACATGGGACTCGGAAGTGCATGGTTGGAGGATTATTGGGGTGAAAAAAACGTTGGAGTGAATAGGGTTAATATGTAGAATGAACATACCGAGAGCGGGCGCTTTTCTCTTGACTTTGCGGGACCAGACCTCGAAGCAGTCCTCGAGCGCGAGGTTCCAGTACTTGTCGAAGGCGGCCACGTATGCCTCCACGTGTCCCCTTATGCCGTGCGCGTTCCTGGTGTAGACCTTCGGCACAAAGAACGACCGATTATTCCTTTTAGATCGCGACGAGTCCTCGTATTCCAGGTAAAACCGTGTTCGCCGAGAAAAGAGACGGCAATCGGCATTCCCTCTTCACTTTCGATGATTATCCCGAGTCGTCCGAAATGTGAGGTAGAAATCAAGTGAATGTTGTTAACGTGGCAAAAGCGTTTGCTCGACTTTTATGGTGCGATAAATTCTCTATCTGTCTATACCGTCATCCATGTCATTTAGATTGGAATAGTGAAATGAATCTATAAAAGAGCTAAGCTGATTTTTTATCGTTGCAATTTCTTGCGAAAATTCGATCAACTTGCGCTAATTGATGATATAACTCAGCCATTTTTTTATCCATATCACAAAGACTACGCATTTATTAAGCTTTTGTACGACTGACTAATTGCGTAGTCTAGACACAACTAAAAAGTGACACTAATTACGAACATAATTACGAATGTAATTAATGTCACTTTTAATTAGTTCTATCATTATACATGATTATCAGTACGTTAGTAGAACTGCGTTACTTATTTTGAATCCTAGTCTGTTATTTCTATTCCACGATGTTCTGTATAAAATTTCGAGTTTTGATCTTTTTCGGCCTAAATTGGAGCTCAACTCAATTTTGACTTTCACTCTGTGTCGTATTCATTCTGGAGATAGTATACATGGAGCGTAATAGTATTCAGCGTAATACTTTAGAACGATAAAATGCATTAAAGACACATTACGTTTGGTTGAGGAAGGTCCGTGTCGGCGAGAAAAAGCGTTATTTGTCACATAGATACGGCCGCAAGAGACAAGATAGCGGCCTAATACGCGGAAGTGCAAGCCGACGAGGCAACAAGGCCCCCTTCAATGCCTTTCGTGCAGCGCGGCCATACGTGCCAGCCGGCTTTGCCGCAATGAGAACTAATTGCGAGTCTCGAACTCGTATACGTGTGTGTCATCGCGAGTCATTGAGTGCCGACGATGTCCGCGAATTAGTCGGAATCGATTCTAGGAGTCCTCAAGACCGCCAACGAGGAGTCCGATCTTCGCCGTCTCAAGGTGACAGAACTCGCGCGTGCCTTAGCCCTTCCGCGTGTTTTCGTTTTTACGCATGAATGATGATCCGATGGAGTCATTTTGCCCATTTACTCGCTGTCGTCAATTAATTTGAAACGGCTTATTTCTCTATCATCATTTTGACTAAGCGACTATACTTCGGGATGATCATCAATTGCGCATATATGATGAAAATATGGTGTCGTTAGAATTAATCGTTGTTTCGGAGTAACGACTATTTTGCGCGCTTGATGTGTCAGGATTTTCTTGACCGTGGATTCAAGGATTTTGTTGCGATCGAGAGATTGTGGCAATGAGATATCGAGGGCGATTCGGTGGCAAGATATGAATTCAATTAGACCGGAAAATTTCGGAAGTGTTCGAGGCTGCGATCAGATCGACTCGATTAGATTCTACGTGTGATTTCTTGCCAAAATTCCAATACGGAATCTTGCAAGTTTGTTTTTGCCATTTTTAGCTTTGAGCGAGTTTGTCATTTTAATTTATTTTTCGAAACAAAAGTAATTGTGCAATATGTTATGTACGTAAAGTGGTACCAACTGTTAGATGTGCAAATCACTTTTTCTTGACGAGTAATAAATCGACAATAATAAATCTTGGATACATTAGCTATCCGATTATTCAATCAACATAATCGAACGTCCCTCGCGATTTTTTTCTCAACGCACTTATATTCGTTCGCGATGAGATGAGCTTGAATGACTTGATGATAAAAAAAACCCGCGTGCTTTCCTCGGCAATTTGAACGGTCGAAGGTCGAGTGATCGATTCGCTAAGATAAAATCTTCTTTCCGGATGCGTTCGAAGGTCACGGGAGATTAGGATCTCGCCGTCGAGGACGGTGATTTGAAACGCAAGGCAATTCTTAAGGAACGCGGCGACGATGAAAGTTAACGCATTTAATTTAAGCTCGGGGAAGGAGGCTAATCGGAAACTCCATTCTTCTTGCTGAAGATATCCGCTTCCGCTCAGCGGAAGCCCAATTAAATCAATTTGACTTTTATTTTCCATTATTCCGTCTCATTGTCCTATTATTAGCCGTCCTTAGCGCGAGGCGGTGATCATTAAGCGCGCCGCGCCACGCCGCGCCGCGAGAAATCATCGGATGCGATTAGATAAGTATGATGATGACTTATCAGCGTGCACATCGCGCCGCAATTTTTCAACTTTCCACGGTGACGCGCGTTCACTTCCGGATTGATTGTACAATCTCGAGGACGTTGCTTCTGTATAAATTACCGAATCGACAGAGATAGATCTTAGATTGCACGCGTCATCTATCTAATTGTAAGAATTGTGCCTGAAAAATATTTATTGCAGAATTATAACTTTCAAAAAGTATCGTCCTTATAAAATTGTAATCGTAAAATGCTAATCTTAGAATCATGTTGTGGCGTATTATTGTTTCGCATGTACGGAGTATTGTATTTACAACTCTGGCAATCACGGGAGAGAAACGAGACTACAAGTAATTGAAAAATTTCAGAACGTCCACGGAAATTATGCCTTTCGGAATACGAGATGTGTAACGATCAGTAATTTTCGAAGGATGTCGTGCTCTAAATTGTATCCTCCCGAGAAGGTTGACCGTGTGTGTTTTGAGGGGTGAATTTTAGGGCAGCAATGCGACTCCTGCCCGGGCGTGATCTCGCCTCGTGTTGAATCGTTTGTCGCACGACGACGATATACGTCAGGGGTGTAAACAGAGATGGCTAAAGCGCCCTGTTGGGTCACCATGGTTACGAGTGTTGACCCGAATGCTTTTCTTTCTTCCCCGGCCGCGTTTCTCGGCGAAGGGTTGGTTTTGTCGCCCTTCGAATACCCGTCAAGGGTTTCGTGTACGTGTCACTCGGCTGCGAAAGTGTGTCAGCCCGTGTATGCGTGCACGCGCAGTGTTAGGGGATGGAAAAGAAACGACGGAAGGGAAGAAACTGCGGACGAAGAGCTCTTTTTTAGAATGCCTTCTTCTTGCCGTCGGCAAAGACGTAAAGGATTAGGAAGAAGACGTACCTCACTGAAAATATCTATTCTGAAAGAAAGTTGCAGTATTTAAAAACATACATTTTTCTGGAAGTGCGCAAGAATGACGAAACAAGAGAGACCTTAGTATTTAAGTCTTTGAATATAATAAATATAATTTTGAGGGATTTTTACAACAACGAGAGAATTATTTTTTAATGTCTGTACAATCTAAAATCTAGAAATCTCTACAGATTTAAAATTATTTATCAATATGTCATGAAAACTTGCCGTTTTATTTAAAGAATTATTAGGATTTTTACGAAGTATTAAATATCAATTATTCGAAAAAAATTAATCGATGACCTACCCTAACGCGGATTTTTTCCTCCATGCACCCGTGAAGCATTCCTAACGGGCCGAGAGTCTTTTGCATTTTCGAGAGTACGTTCTTCCGTCCATGTCTTCTTCTGACCACAGGTTCTGTAAACACGCACACAATCAATTTAAATTTTAAACATTAACTTCAAGATCATGAGAAGAATACAGTTTAAAACTAATTGAATCGCATATGATTGTTAAAAAGTGCTTTAATATTTAATTACATAAAAATTTGAAAGCTTAAAACTCCAGAATTTCGTTAGGCTTTGAATCGATTATGCTAATTATATAAACAAAAACAATGAGGCAAAATGTTCAAAAAATATGTGGTAAAATTTAATGAAATTTGATTCATAAATGTGATTTGGTTGTCGGTGAACCTCGTCGTAAATGATTTATGACTAATGTAAGAAGAGAGTTCCTTTACTCTTGTCGAAGTATCGAATTCCAAGATCATTTCATGATATCGAATTTAATTATTTATTATTTGCGTCAAATGGTTTTTTATTTGTAAAATAAATACAGGAAGGAAGTATGTCGCTGCGCGCATTTTATTAACTATTCTATATTGAATACTATAAATATGTAATAATAATAATGAAGAAAAAAGTTTCCTCAATAATAATTGCATTGGAAAGCTATGAAATAATTAATTTCTATATTATAAACATATCTTTAGTCAATATCTACAGACTATTAGGAATGAAATATTGAAATTCTTTTAAATACACTATAAAATGAAGCATGTTATCTTTTAATTATATCAGGAATAATAAGTAGTAATAATAATAACAAGAAGAAAATAATAACAATAACAAGACACTATATTATATTATATTATGAGTTACTACACTCGAATAGTATCGGAATATTAGAAGTAGTCCCAAGACGGGCAGATTGCGGCGATGGATTTTTATGAGCTGCCGTAACACCGCGCTAATAAGAATTTATGCGGCTCTCTCGTGTCTCGCGGACTCGCTCGACAAATCATCGTTCATCCTTACGCACGAGGAACGGAGAGCCGATAGCATCGCGCGCGCGTCGTTCGTTCCTCCAGTTTTTGCTCCTTTTTTCCCGCCGTGACTACGAGACTTTACGCAGCCGGGAGAGCTTCATTAACCCCCGTCGTCGTTCCCATACCTTATACACAGTGATACCAAACTTTTCTTTCCCGTTGAAGTAAATCAATCGGATCTACGGTGAAGCAGTAACGCAGAGGAAGAAACACGCAACTTCGTTTGACGTCTAGTACGTAATTTAGCAGTCGTAAACCGAAAGTAATAGCAATAGCTCGATTAAATAAAAATGAGAAGTCGCTGATTTCAATTTCTTATTGCATAGAAATTACATATACCTAATATAAATTGTAGTTTCTTTCATATGTTTAATATTAGATACTTGACTATGGTTCTTGCTTTTGCTAAATATCGAAGCAGATTATTGCTCATAACGAATGATCACTTTTCACGATTAAATTTTTTAATCAATACGTTCTAAACAAAACTTTGAAGTAAAATCTAATCCATCGAGAAATTCTTTTATTTCCAATAGAACGCCTTCATAATCGCATTTCTGAAGACGCGGTGACATTGGCAAAGAAAAATTTAATTTCCCTGGAAAGATTGTTTCCTGAGAATCCTGAATCTTATTATTTGCATGTGTAAAGACCTTCCTCGGTTTTGCGATAGCTTCGCTAATCTGGGAGAGACTCGGGGACGGTAGACCCGGCCCTGGACTGTCGTCGCGCGCGGAAAGAGGAACGCCGTGGAGTTACGTAAAGCCTCGGAGCTGTGCGGCGGCGGCGAGTGCACTTATTTTCTCCGTGTGCGCGCACCCGATGCTCGTGGACTCGCTCACAAGCGTGTGCGAGCGGTGCAGCAGGAGCGGTGCGTCAAGAGAGCCGCTCGCATTCGCGCCGCTCGCACGCTCGCTCGCTCGCGAGATCGACGGTGCCAATTGGCTTTCTCCGATAACTTTCATCCGTCTAAAGGGGCCCGTCGCGCGGCCGCGCTCGCTCTGCTTCTTTTCCACCTTTCTTTGTTCCTTTCCGCGTGCACTTTCACTATCGCGCGATCCACTATTGCGCCGAGGCGGTCTGGCGTCGACGATCGAGGACGAGAAGGGATCGACGGCGACGACCCGTGCGTGGCCGTCCTGGTTTCGCGTGCTCGCCCGTAATTAAATCGCGAGCGATTGTGTTATGAGCTATAGTTTTTCGTTAGATAATGATGAGTAGGAAGTTGCCTTTTTTTTTTAATTGGACGTATAAAGGCGAATATTTCCGAGATGAAGTCTGGATATTGCGACGAATGCTAAGGTATGGCTACATTCGCTGAATTCGCGTTCTGCAAAACGTATCTCAGGATATCTTCTGGTAACAAAAGAAACACAACTTGACCTAATGAGAAAAACGCTTTATTTCATTTGATGGCTAAATCAGGCTTGTCTTAGAAAAAAAAATGGATAGGAGCGAGGAGGAAGGATACAGAGAAAGTCGAGAAAAAGAGGCGATGGAATAAGCGCACTCCGCGTCCACCTCCGACCTTCCGGCCGTTTTTCCTTCTTTCTCGCGAGCTCCTTCGCTTCTCGTCCCGATCTTCCTTCGTGCGCGCGTGTGCAGGAGATAGCGCAGCCCGAGTGTGCAGCCCGGAGAACGTTCACGTTTGCGTGAACCGCGTTGCAGGGAACCGTTAGGATCGCAACCGCGCGCGCGGCCGCGAGGGGAGGAACGCGAAACGGTGACTTTATCGTCCCTTCTCTGGGCAGGGTGAGCCATGGAGGTGTCCGTCGTTCCGTACCTCGCCTTGCACGTTCGTTAACCCCTTAAGGCGGCATGATACTCGGGCTAGCTCATATACAGGGTGTTCGGTAATCGGCACGTTCGCCACATTGTTGATGTATTGTACCCTGATTGTCGAGGATGTGTGGAAATGGTTCTCTTCCAAAAGAAATATATCGGAATATAGATGCGTTTGAAGCCAATAGAAATAATTTTGAGAAATTAAGCTTCAGAGGTGCGAATGGACAGTAGAAACTTTGGTGTTCGCTTTTCGTTTCAAATAGATTTAGGATTAGCAAGTTTAATTCATTTCTAAATTTGCTAAATTATTCGCTTAATTCTTGAAAAATAAGATTTGATTTTACCACCAGCAATGGGCTTTTTCGTGTCATGCAATTAACTTTAGGAATTGGAAGATAAACCTTGATGATGCAATTGAATCAATATTATTGCGATTTCATCATCGTAAAACATGGATTGGAAGCATATGATTCTTGTAAGTACATTGTTTTAAAGTGGGGAAGGACAGCAGTAAAGTACACATTTAGATTACTTCACTTAAAAGTTTGATATATTGAAATCCGGAGAGCGCATAATATTTGTCGCAGATTATATGTATATACATATACTATATATAACATTGACTTTTTCGCATTCGTAATATCGATTTTGAAAGAAGTGGACCTTCAAACGTGCTATTTTCTAAAGACGAAGGTCCATCGCTTTCAAAATCGTTATTGTAATTTACGCAAAGTCGCTTGCGCAAAAGCTTATTTTCATAATAAACAAAGTGACGTTCTTGAAATGTAACCGTTGCAAAATATCGGTGATTAATATTTGACTTTAACAATTTACGACATGCATAAGCGAGATCCTTCCTGTTTGCATACGGCTTAACGTTGTTGTACTTCGAAAAGACATGTTTGTCATCGGTATACAAATTACATAAACATATTTGATACATGTTTTAGTCATTCTTTTCGTAATTTGTAATATGCAATTAACCTTCAAGTTGGAAAATTGGCAAGTTGTCAATAACTTTTTGAAAGTTTTCATCGAGTTAGGTACAAAGAGAGGTATTCAAACGCGAAATACCCAAATACCAACTCTTAAGTGATAATTATAAGTTTATAGTATTGTGAATAGAGGCTGCTTGAAATTAAATGGAAAGTAAGATCAGGAATATAGATTGATATAAAAGCTTTCCGTTTTCTATCGCTCATAAGCAAGAATTGGTATTTCGAGACGTACGTTTGTGTTACGAAAGAAGTTACTTTATATTAATTCGAAGCATCGAAATGAAACATAAGCACAAAAGTTTTCACCTTATAATAAGTTTTCCGTTGAAATTCTATTGTGAAGCACTAAAAATACTCTTCGATCAACAAGATGTTAACATCCTACGCCAGTTCATTGAATTTCTTATCAAGATAAATAAATGATATATTTTAGAAAAGAAGCGGAAATTGAATTTTAGGAAAATGGATAACTTCTATAATATGTTCGTTCTATTTCAAAAAGTGTTTGATAGAATTTCAGTTACAAAAATATATTCAATGTTAAAACTTTGAAAATTTTACATGAAAAATGAGTTACTTCTTTCGGCATCAAAAATATATATCGATTTATTAATCAAGCTTTCCCGTTTGAGCATGCTACAAGAAATTCTCTTTCTCTCTCTCTCTCTCTCTCTCCTCCTTTCTCTCTCTCTCTCTCTCTCTCTCTCTCTCTCTCTCTCGCTCTTTCTCTTTCTCTTTGGCGATCAAAGGCGAGCTCGAGATTTTCCGGCCTCCCGATCGTTCGGCCGCGTGTTGCGCGACGCGTGCAAAAAGGGCCCGCTAACATCTGTACGGCGGCGCGGCGTGTCTCGCGTGTTGTTCACCTGCGAAAATGTTCACGCGGGTGCGTGCGAAGGAGTAGTTCGGTATCAAGCCCGAACTCGAGGAGATGAGTTCGTGGGTCGCAGGTGGGTACGACGGCCCTCGTAGAATGTTTGCGGGCGCGGGACGGGCGTGGGGCCCTCTCTCCTTCGTGCCCCGTTGAGAACGGCGAACGAAATATCGCGGGACGAGGTGAGGGACCAGGACGGGCTGGAGTTCGCGAGGTGTACGGGCGAGAGAGGAGTAGAGCGCGGCTTGTACCCGCGGATGATCCCCAGGTTGAGTCGCGCTGGGTTCAATGTCCTGTCGGGCAGCGCACCCGAGAGCCGAGGCAGGCAGGCGAGCAGCCACCAGACCTCTCCACCACACGTACACACGTACACGTGTACACGACCGCGCACACGTTTCCGCGAGATCGCACACGGCCGCGCGCTCCGCCGTTG